ACTGGCTGAAAGGATGATTAGGAGCTGACATCTAGCTGACACTTTGCTCACCAAGCCACACACCTGAGGAGTTGTATCTACCCAGATGGGCTCCCTTTTCTAATGTTCACAAATGGTCCGCCTGGCGAAGTGTGGTCCTATCTCTAGGTACTTATCACATCATATGCTAATTATCCATGTGTCCATCTCCCCTCCCACCCCTTGTCAAACACAGTGGTCCTTGGCACGCTCTCCTCACCCTGGTGCCCACTACAATGCCTGGGGCATGTAGACTTCCACAAATAAGCGTTCACTGAACTGACCTGTTGAATGAGAGGGAGACTACCACTGAGCAGGAAGAACAGGGACAGACTCACAACCTGATTAGGAAGTCTCAGAGGGAGGGGAAATTGGGAAACACCCGTCCTATCTATGACAACATTTCCAGAAGGCAGAGGGGATAAAAATTATGCCCAGCCAGATGGTGAGGACTTTGCATCTCCGCGGTCTGGATCCTGTTGGCTGGGACGGGCCCTTATCTTCTGGAGCCCCAGGTGCCACACCCAAGTGGCTGGAGGCTGATGTGAGGAGGATGTTATAAGGGTGGCAGGAAGGGAGAATATTTTTTTAGCATTTAAATATATTCTAGCTTCGGGGATCAGCTTCTCCAGGTAAATCTGCATTTGTGGGAGGAAGTGTCCTGAGAGGGCATTGTCCAAAACTCCAAACACAGATTAGAAAGGCTTCGTGGAAAAAGGGATCGATGGGACCCAGGAAAGGGCAGGGCAGAGGTAGGGGGCCCCCCTCCAGGGGAATAAAGAAAGAGGAGGGGAGCAGGGAGCTGGGCTTACTGACTCTACACCCACCGACAATGGCCACCAGGACCGATGCCACATCACTCTTGTATAGTCCTTCCCCTGCCGTGCGCCCCACTCCCAGCCCTAACTCCGCATCACCAAGAGGAAAATCTGGAAACCACAGCAGCAGCAGGCTCTTTCAGGGGCAGGGCAGGCTGGTGGAGCGGGAGATAAGAAGAGGCACCTGTGGTGGGCATGTGGCTGCAGAGTTACTGGAGGGAAAAGCCAGGTTACTGAAGTTGGAGGAAAGAAAGGAAAAGAAGGTGAAGCCAGGAAAGCCTGGGGCTTATGTTCTGGAAGATCTCTGAAAATGCAGGGGAACTTGGAACAAAATGCTAAATGGAACTTTCAAGGATGAGTCACTTGAGATTCTCCAGGAAGGGTGGGAGGGCTCACTTCCCTAGGGGTTTGCATCAGGACATCTGCAGGCGGAGGGGTGGCTGCGTGTTGAAATAGCTCCCTCGGTACACCAGTTGTTCCCCCAAACAGAAGCTACAGAAAGGATGGCTTAACAGCTCCTCAGAGTTGAAAGGCCACCCAGACACAAAGTGCACATGGCATGAGAGAGATATCAGCTTTATAGACAGATGAAGAGCGCCAAAGTATTTATTCGACATCTGTTTCCATAATGTCAGGCCTTAACGATGAACAGAACATGGTCTGGTGCAAGCCTGGAACCGACAATGTTCGGGGTTGCACTTGTATAATCGTAATTTCTATGTGCTCTCCAGCCTTACTGGTCAGACAGAATCCAGGAAGGACTTTTGGGAAATCAGGTAATCAAATTAAGTATTGTTTCAGCATCCCCCCAACAATGTCATACAGTCAGTCATTCAACATTTGGGACAGAAACACCTTCACTGTCCTGAAAATGACTAAGTAATATTCAGACATTAATTTAAAGTTGTCCTTTAAATGGACTGAGGGACACTTGGTAGACTGAATTTAAAGGTGCTAAATATTACCCAAGGGCACAAGAGCAAACAAAGCAACTCAACCCGACCTGGGCCAGTCTTCCCTACTCTGCCGATACCATCAGTGAAATTTGTTGAAGAACCAGTATTTCAAATTCCAAAGTGCTGAAGAAATCTCTGTAAGGCAGCCAGTCCCCCAGGGCATCTATAAGATTTTTCGTTTCAGAATGGATACATATTTTTAGTCTATTTCCCACTTTTGATATATTATGAGCAAATGATTAGGGAGAATGAATTATTCTATTACTCTTTACTAACAAAAATATAAGAATTTATCAAGAACGCACTACTTATGAAACAATTAAGAAGAGCAATTGACTTGGAGCCAAAGAAATCTGGACCAAACCCAGTGACTGCTGGCTGGGTCATCTTAGGCCTCTGCTTCTCATCTGTAAAATGGAAATAATAATGATAATATTTGTCTCATAAGTTGATGTAAAAATAAAATAAGATTAGGTCTGTACAGAGTCTAGTCCAGAACATACTTGATACTGAGATAATTCTGCTATACCTTATGAGATAATACCTTAAATCTAATGTTTGCTATTACCATAAATAAATACTATTAGATGAGCATAAATTTGCCTTGGTATTGCCAGGTATAAGCTTTAAATCCCTGGTTCACAATGACTAAACCCTAGCCTGGTATATTTAAAACAGCATTGTGCTTAGACATACATTGTAATGACTATCCCAAGAAATACTTGCTTCTTTCTCAGCATCTGGGACTAGGACATAATTTGTTTCCAAAAGCCAGTAAAGCCAGTTTCCCAGCTCCGGCTGACGCCTGTGACCCAGTGTTGCTCTCAGCCAACTTCAGGATGGTCTTGGAGCCCAGCAAGTCCCCTGAGGGCAGAATGTTCTGGCAGTTGCTCTGGGCACGCCCAAGGAGCTGGAGGCAACTTGTTGACCAGAAAACCAACCCAAACTTGTGCCAATTAAGGAAGGAAGGCACAGACCCCTCTGTGTAAGATGGCCCCTGGGGTCTTCTGAGGTCCCAAGGGCCTCTGTGAGAAAGATCTTTTAAACAAGAGCAGCGTGAACAAGTGGAGAGAAGGTGATGTTTGCCTACTTTTCCCCATGCATGGTAGAGTAGGGAAGACCTGGGGCTGAACTGGGGGAAAAGGCCTGAAAGAGATCCCTGGAGGAGATAGGCTGGAGCCAGTGGTGGCCTACAGTCTTCTCCCCATCCTAAAAGCAGCAGGCAGCAATGCTGAAATGCAACTGTGGAGATATCCCAGACCATGGGCGAAAGAAGACAACCTACCCAGCAGCTGGAACACAGCAGCTGGTCTCAGTTATCAAGATACAGAGACGCTTTATACCAGTTTTCATAAACCTCTGCCCTGAGGCCCCCTCTGCCTCCCCACAGCTCTAGCTGCCATGATCCCTCCTCTAGCATTGTCTAGCCTCCCCCAAATGCAGCAAGCACAGGGTTAACATCTGTCACCGAAGGGGGCCTCAAGGATTTTCTCATTGGTCTGAGCTGGTTGTGAAACGTTTTAAAGATCCCTGACAGAGGGGGACCCCCAACCCCAAATGGGAGTTTATTAATCTGTATCATCTCCAGTGGGTAGGGGCAGAGCCTCTAGGGGAGTGGTCTCCAGGTGGGCTCTGGAGCTGGGGTCGGGCCACCTGGGTGAGAAATGCTGCCTCTGCAACCTTGGCTATCACCTGACCTCCCCAGCCACATTTCTCTTCCAAAGCCCAGGGCCCAACTGCCTCAACTGTCCACCCCATTCTTTATTTCCATCAACATCCGCTCAGATGCAAACACTGACTTCCAAGTAACAGCTCTGCTTAAACTATTGGGTTGCCGTCTCTAACTGGAACAGAAGTGAAGCAGCAGAGAGCTCCCCACAGTGCAGCATCAGCCGGGAGACTGTGAAAACCACTCACAGCCAGCCTTTCGCGGCCCACTCGCCTGCCACCCAGGCCCCACTGGAGGACTGAGGCCCTCTTTGTTTCACGGACCTCAAACCAGGACAACCTCCCACTTCAACCGAGAAAGCCCCCCAAGTCTGAGATTCGGACATTAAAAACTCCTACTTTCACTTATCTGTTCTCTTTTTGTGTATTGTAAAATAACTCACCATTTACCATTAAGTTGTTAGAAATTAAACCAAGAATATGTAATTCTACAGCCAGTTAAGTCAGTGGAGAAGAAATCAGAATGGAGCATAAAAATAATGCTTGACAACCCTCCCTCCCTCCCTCCATCTGACACATACGCATGTACAGGCATACACCCTCCTCTAGAGGAGATCTTTAAGAAAGATATTGCCAGAGCTGTTAGGCACTGTTAACAGTCCATTGCGACAGCCAGATTGTATAGCTGCATTGAAGCTATGAATTTGTTAGATCCTTGAAAAGTCCTTATCTCTGGCTTTTTAATGTGCAGCTCCTTGAATTATACACCTTGTTGAAGATACAGGAGACATTTTATGGCTGTGCTGGGGTTAGGTGATGACTGAAACGCAAAGGGAGACATAACCACACCATACTATGCCCTCTAGGAGACAAGAGGCCTAGGAAGGATCAGGTAAAATGTCCATGCAACAGAGACTATTCACTCATCACTAGGCCAGTTGGTTACCACAAATAATTTCTTTCCCTGCGCAACACAACCAAGCAGGGTTGTCCCCGTTTCATACAAGAGGAGAAGAGCAGCAGGAGACCAGCTGTCTTGTTGTGTATAGTCGTAATCCTGTTTCTAATAGCAAGAGAATCCTGGATGGAAAAATATACAGAGTAACTGAGCTGGCAGGAAATCAGAAGAAAATATCCTGAGCCCTTGCTTCCAAGTTAAGGTATGATACCTTCTAAAGCTCATAATCAAACAGGAAAAGAGATCAAAGGTTACTAAATATAATTTTGATTTTCTTGTCTGATTAGGTGGTTTTCTGTAATGGTTGGGTTTGATTTTAAAGACATGCCTGTACAACAGGAAATCAACTCCAGTACAAAAAATAAAGTCATGTGGAATTTCTGAAAACTGCCATACGGTAGAATCCCTACGCTAGTTGTTAGAATGAAAATAAAGTATAAATCTCAGCTTTGTGAGCATGGCTGAGCCTAATGTTAATGTGGCGTGTGAGGCAGATCATGGAGACAGTGGCCGCATGGGTGACGCTGGATGGAGAGAGAGGAGTTAGGTGTGAAGGTATCCGAGCATCTTGGGAAGACTTACTTGGGGGTACGGCTGGGTTTCCAGTACCTGCAGAAGAGGTACTGTCCGTCAGCATTGACCAAATGAGGGAGGTCTTGGTACGGAACACTTTGCGGGGTCCGCCTGGGAGAACTTTCCTCTGGCATTCTGGAAGGATCTCCAAGTCCTTGGAAGAAAGGACGACACATACAGACAGAGTCAGAAACACGGCAAAAACAGAGACGTAGGGGAGAAAAGCCTTGTCAGTAACATTTTTTTTTTTTAAAGCAGCTTTTAAAAACTCCATTTCAAAGATTTAAAAAATACATACATTTCTTGCAATCTCTCCAACACTGAAAAGTCCCATTTGTTCTTAAGAAAAGCTGACTTTATTTTTTAAGTGCCTCATTACAGCTTTCCCCTTCTTCCCATCTGTGTTTATTTTAAATCATTTCAGGAAACTTCGTCTTAAAGACTATTTTAGCTGTAATCAAGTGGAAATTATAGTTAGCTCTCTGGGTATAAAGCCCCAGCTGCAAGAAGACACAGCCATCTTCAAATTCCCCAGGAAGTTTCAAGGGGGCAGGATAATGGATGATGGTGTTCCCATTAATTCCTCCTGTCTGAAATTCCAAAAATGCCGGGTGGACGAACCTGTTTTCATCATTTCCTGGGTTTTGCATTCCACAAGCACGGCCAGCCTTGAGAATTAGAGCCGGGCAGCTAGGGGCTGGGCGGGCAAGGGCTGGGCAGATAAGGGCTGTGCCCTCATCGCCGCGGTCACCGCCCCCGGCAGCAAGCGGCTGGAGCCCCTGGCCCCTGCCCTGCGCCCTGCCCCCAAATCCTGCCTTTGAGGCTTTAGGGTGCCGAGCCCGGCAGCCTGCTTCCAGCTCTCACTGACAAGTTCTCGGAGGCTCCCCTCCCTTCCCAGGGCGGGGAACAGGAGCCTGCGAGCCTCCACTACTAGTTCATGTCATCACTTTTCCTAAACAAATCGCCGAAGGGGCTCGGAGAAGGGAGGGGCTGGGAGCCCAGCACCCACTGCCTGGAAAACTGGGAAACGCTCTGCGCACTCCGAGGCAGCTCGCACACGCACAAATGCGGGTCCCCGAGGGAAAGTCACCCCCGCGGTTCCTGACAAACTTTGCTTCTGCCTGTCTCCGACAGCACGGGGCATGGGGTCCAGCAGCTGTCACTGGAAAGACCACGGGGAAAACCTGGCGACTTCACCCGGGTGTCTGCGCGGGGTCCGCGGGGACTCGGAAGATGGAGTTGACGCGGACAAGTTCGTTTGGGGGCTGGCGCGAGCGAGCGCGGAGGGCGCGCGCACTCCCGCGCGCACACACAGACACGCGCGCGCGCCCAGTTGCGCACACACGCGCGCGCACAAGAGGGTGCGGGAGCCCACGCCCAGCGGGCCAGGGACCCCGAAGCTGCTCCCCACCCCTGCTGATGGCACTTGCAGGCTGGGGCGGGGACCAGGAGGCAGTTACCGGGGCACGAGCGCCGCTGTCGCGTTCCGGAGCGCTGCGGGTCCTAGTCTGCGGCGGGCCAGGGTAGGGCCGAGCTGCGTGCCGCCGGCTCCGTGGCTACAGGGTGCG